TGCTATCTTCTGAAAGGTAAACTGTGTGTTGCTATGGTAACTAGTCCTTAATATTCTCTGGTAGGAAATTAGTTCAAGGTAGAACTACTTACATTTCAAAAGAAAAAGATAATTTAAAAAATAATGACAAAGAATTAAACTACATAAAGAAACAGAAAAAGTCACAAAGTTATGAAGACCAAGAATGAACATGAGCTGAGTAATACACTTCCAAAAATAAAAAGCCTTCAAATTGACTGCCCTGGGAGTTCTATGTTAAGGCTAACACTAAGGTTGATGTCACACTCGGCCAGTCCTCTCCTATATAATATACAGTCTATTAAGTGACTATGCATCTATCCAATCCAAAAATACATTTAGAGCAGATATTGTTGTAACTGCATAATAGAACAGTTTTTTTCTCCTTTTGTCTTTATCCCAAAATAGAAAGTGTTATTTACAGACTGTGGCCCAGAGCACTTATCGACCTCAGAATTTACCCCCCGACTGTAATCTTCCTCCATGCCCTGGTGTCTGAAGGCTGTGTGAGAAAAATGACAGGAATGAGAGGTGAGGGCGAGACAGAACGGACTCCACATTAAACATTACACATTTTACCACAGCGCAGACAAAAGCAAAACAAGGACAGCCGCTTGTTTCCAGGATCAGGTGAATATGCTGCTGTCACTCCAGTCTGAGGGCACTATTCATGTATGCGTCTCCTCTGCCAATACCTGCTCAGCAAAACTGTCTCCGAAAAACCTGATCCCAAACAAAATTACTAGCATTTTTTGGAAACTGATACCATTCTAATATGTTTGTGCTCTTTGTAAAAAATAGGATAAATCCAGCTGGGTTTGAAGGTGTTTATGACGATTGCTTATTTTTTCTTATTTTCAGTGATTTTTAATTACTAATATTAACTCGCAACATTGATGATACTCGGATACAATGGCATGTTATACCTCACTTTCTTTTCAGGAAGACAAACAAAGCTTTTTACTTAAAATTTAACCCAACATACATGTAATAGAGAAGTTAAACAAATAGATTTAAATATAGAGATTATTCATTGGTCTTTAATCAGTCTTCAATTACTGTATATCTCATGCACCAAAATAAAGGGAAAAATATAATATAATAATAGAAAAAAGCGTATACATTTGGCTCTTTTTTGTAATTTACCCTCGACTCAAAAGATACTGTGTTCTATAGGGAACACACTTTAAAATGATGTATGACCTGAGTGTATTTGCGGAGTTGAAGTTGGCTGGATGAAATTGTGAACTGCCTTCACTAAAGCCGGCTGTAGTGAAGGCAGTAACTTCCAATGATTCAAAAGAAATCGTCTGATGCCACTAAAAAGGATGATTTTGACTCACAGGTGTTTTATTGTAGTGAGGCTACCAAGCTATTCGTGATAAAGCGGAGGTTTTGGAACAAAGCCGTTTCCATTATGACATGCCATTTCACTATAAATGTTTTACATAAAGCAGATTGTAGAAACACAGTTATGCTTTTGATCATTTCGGTGAGAGGCACTTTTAGAGCAAATATATGATATATAAAAGACTCATGAAGAGTGTTTCTGGAAGGTCAAGAGCCATTTCCACTGTTTAAAGATGTTATGGAAAGAGGACCTTGAACACGTTTTGAAGCCACAAACTTAACTCATAGGAACAAAATGCATCAACACCACAAACATGAAGAGCGCCGTGACAAAAACACTCTTAAGAACTGCCTCCTGAACTTATAGAAGAACAAATCTGGCACAAAATCACAGATACAAATGTTGTGGTGTGCAGCCAGTTGATACTACTCAGTGACATAATACTGGGTTTAAATAGTCATCTTCAGTGATGAGGAGTTTCTTCTTGTTTCCAAACACTATTGGACTGATCTATTGTTGTGTATGATTCACAGTTCATTTGGAAACAGAAGGGGCGGGGTTACGTCTTTGTGCCAGAGGTTCCTGATGTCAGCGTGGATGGATCTGAAAAGGACTGCAGTCTGTTTTTGATGAGGAAAAAAATGTGTCTCAAAAAATACAATTCTTCCCCTCCCACTGGTGTTAGTAAAGGGATAGGGCAGGCCGAATTGTATCTGATAATTGCGTCACCATATATTGTCCACTGAAAATATTATTTCATTCTCATTTAGCACCACCACTGACCTCTTCTTAAACACTTTTTAAAACCCACTTTTATGGAATGGCCTTCCTAAAATCTGTTTTTAAAATCTCCATGTACTGTCTTTGTTTTGGGTTATTCTTTGTTCGCTTTAATCTCCTGTATTTCTCTTTCATGTTATATTATTATGTCTGTTATGGTTTTATTGCATTATGCTGAAGTGTACAGTACTTTTTGAAAAGTGCTATACAAACAAATTATTATATTATTATTATCATTTTAATGGCCAACACACAAATGCATAGTATTTATGCACAGTGGGATTTACTCGTGACATTTGGAACTTCAGAAATGATGCGTCTTTATTCCGCCTAACCATGAAGTGACAAGAAATGATGTGGAGGGGAAAGACGTATAAATCTGGGGTTGGCGACGGCATTTCTTCTACTAATTTCAAAATCTCAGCATGACATTGACAAGTAGCAGACTGGATTATTGATCGACCACATCAATAAAATGTGGGAATATCAAAACATAAACAAGTTTGTCATCTGTTTTTCCACTTGCGGAGGAGACTTAGCTCACTTGAAGTTGGAGTGACCTGTCTCCTCTCTCCAGATGTTTGTCTGGTGCTTTGATTTATGCCCATATACCAGCAGCGGCTTCAGTCCAGGGGCTGTAATTCTCCGCACCTGGGTTGTGCCGTGGGTAAAGTCTTTATTTGTCCTGTAGCTACTCAAGCGAGATCCTGCTGAGAGATGGTACCGCCAAAAGTAGCAGGCGCGAGGATGGATGCGGCACAGGAGCAAATATAAGAGCTTCATTACCAGTGGAATCTATAGAGCTTCACCAGAGTTTTAGCAGCGGACACTTTTGTTGATTACTTTACTTTTTAGATATTTTATAAAGGATATTATAAGACATCCAAAGTCTTCAGCTTTAATTGTTGACGTTGACATCATACAGACTGCAGAACCAGAACATGAGCGTAGGTGCTTAGTCCAGAACTTGAGTGTGTATAAATGTATGTTGTTAGGTCAGTTCTGTCAGAAATCTAGCTGTATTTGTGTATTTTCTTTTGTTTTTGTGGCTCTAATTTTAGGAAAGAACCGCACTCTCTACTTTTTGAACCAAACTGTCTTATTTGGCTGAGCACGAATCACCAGAATGATTGACAAGTGGGAGGACCAATAGTCTTGACGATGCACCCGGAAGTAGAAAATCCTCCAATATACCATTAACTTCTTCCCATAAATCACATACAGGTTTGTACCAGAAGAGTTTTATAAAAGTGAAATGTTGCCAACAAACCAACATACAGACTTAAAGAAATTATAACTTAAAAGAAAGAATAAGAAACATCCCTATGAGTTTATAATTATTATTACTATTTGACAGTTTGGGCTGAGGACCTCTCTTTTTCGCTTGTATGTATGAAAAATATGATCTAAAGATGTGAATACAAAACATGTGTGTGAAAAATAGAGATAAAATTGAACTGTTTTGAGAGTGAGAAACTAGTAATATGGAATTTATGACAAAGTGATTAACTTAAAAGTGAGGTACCCAAGCTTTAAACGGGTCTTAACCATGGCGTATACAGCACATACACCGGTATAAGGACGCAGCTTACACACCCTTAACACAAACACTCACTGCATTCTCGATCATTAAACCTTGCGACCTCTTTTATAAAACATTTAAGCCTCGGTGCGTACAAAAGCACAGCGGCTGTCATCACTATTCACCGAGTACAAGGAGAGAAGTGCCTAAAGTCCTGAACTAAGTTTCAAAAATCTCTGACTGCACAAATGCTGCTGACTACATCTTTTCACAACGGCGCGGCTTGTCAAGTCACACATTAAGGGACATTAGCATCCGACAGGACTGAAATTGAATCTATAAGGGGATTCAGAACGCACTATGCCAAAGTCCTTCAAATACATAAGAATTTCAGCGAGGCATTCATCCTTTACACAGTGGATACTTGGCATTTTCTCATAAAAAGACAACAAAAGCAGCGCAGTGGCATAGTGGTTAGCGGTTGTGCTTGACAGTGGGTCCTGTTCGATTCCACCTTTCTGTGTGGAGTTTGCATGTTCTCCCTGTGTCTGTGTAGTGCTTTGTGATTCTAGTCTGTGAAAGGCGCTATATAAATAAAGATTACTTATTTACTTACATACCAAAGGGTTTCTCATGAGTTATCAATGCATACAAATATTACAGTCAAATAGCCGTAAAAAAATGATACAAAATGAGTAGTGCTGCATGTTTGAAACGGCGTGTCGACCCAGGACAGCAGTGGGACAGGTCTGCGTGTTGTCTGGACTACTTTACTTTATAAAATACGTAATAAATAAAACACAATTATACCAACTTTATGAAAAAAGCTGTAAACATCTTTGTTTGCCTAGCTACTTTTACACAACAGAGATTATAACAAAGAGCTGCTCCTTTTTGCAGCTGTAATGAAACCTTGAAAGTCTATAATAACTATGGCAAATCATGGAGACCACACTTTTTCAAATATACCATTATATTGTATAACCATAGTTTAAATAGATATGTAATGATTAAAAATGTAATCTCTCATGTGTGAACTTCCTGAATCCTTTTGGAAGCTACCTAAAAGCAGGTAAGGAGCCCTGTTTTAGAGAAAGCTAATCCAAAACTAATGAAGTTTGTACAATGTATTAAAAAGTGGTGTTTATTCTCAGAATAATACTAAAAATAATAATAATAATTTTAAAATTATAAATCATCGTATTTTGCAACCCATCAATTGTCCACCAGTGATACAAAATGTAAGTTGTTTGAATATATTAGGAACAGTGAAAAACAGCCCCACATGACACTGCAGATATTGCGTTGGTGTGTGGCCAGTGCGTTTACCTTGACAGGTCCTCTCATTGGTCAGCAGCTTGTAGCCTTTCTTACAGCTGCACTCAAAGCTCCCCACGGTGTTCCGGCACACGTGGTCACACCCGCCGTTGTTCAGCCGGCACTCGTCAATGTCTGCGCAGAGAAAAATTACACACAGTTGGAATTTCCGTCCAAGTGAGTGAAATCTGGTAATTGTTAAATGTATGAAAAGCATAAGGCAGCTAATATGAAAGGCAGATTTTTTATTTTGTCAGTGAGAGTCTCTGGTCCCTCTCTGGTCCCTCACTGTTCTGTCTTTGGCCTCTCTCTGGTTTCTCTCTGATCTCTGTGTGTTCATAAGCTTCTTACTACAGCCCCCTCTTTTTGAGCAGAATAAATAAAACAAATACATAAAATACATTTGGTTCGTATATGTTGAGAACTGTATTGGATAATATTAGCTGGGTTTACATTATTTTTCTAAAAATATCAGCTTTTGAAAGGTGGAAGGATAATGCAGTTCAGTAAAAGTGGTGGTTAGCATGTCTGCCTCACAGTGATAAGGTCCAGGGCTGGGTTTGATCTGCAGCCGTTTGAGTTCTCCCTCCGCGTCAAGGCGGTTGGTTTTTGAGCCAATTTCTAAATAACTCAAGGCAACTTTTCTGGTTTCCTATTTCCATTCTATAGTGAGGTAAACATTTTATTAGATATCTGTTTCCCAAACAGGGGTACACAAACCCCAGGGCGTATGTGAGGGTGTTGCAGGGGCTATATAGAATGAGGTACAATATATTATGACAAGTTATACATCATAAACCTATTTCTCTTGAGAAAAAAACGGTATAATTCACTGTATTATAAATATTGTACACATGAGGCAATTAGTAATAATCTCTATGCTAGTTTTGGCTAACTGATAGAGTATCTTACTTTTTTCTGGTTTTGGTTCAGTCCAAGCCTTTTATTCAGATTCAAATTTAAAAAAGCAATCATTTACATATACATTTAAAAAACCAGATGCGAAAGATCATACAGTACTTTCCATAGAGAAAATGATAAGGCCTTGATAGAACAGTTTGAAATATATAATATCCTAAATATGGCAAAAACATTGACATCTATGGCTGCTTTTGTGTATGTAAAGCGAGCCGCACGGTCTACCCTTTCTCTCTTCTCCATCATCAATCTATTTTCAGATTACTCCATTCTCCGCTTTCATCGCCAACACAAAGTCAATGCATCATACAATAATGTCTGGGCTTTGGCGGCTTCCCAGAGTAATGACGTGAAATGAGGCGTCTGGCTGCAGAGGGGATCTTCATTATTTAGTTAAGGGGAATGCATGCAGTAAATGGAAAACAACTATCTTTGCTTTAGTCTGCTCAGAAGTGCTCGGCCTGCAGCTCTTCTGTTCCATTGTCTTTCTCTCGTCTTCTTCAAAACCCTGCTCTAATGCTCGTTCTTTTCATCACTGTTGTACAAAATGACATCCCCAGTTGTAAAACATGCACACTCGTCTTGGAAAAGGCTCTCCTCCAAAACCTGCCATGCTCCCTCCATCTGTCAACTCGCTAAAGCTTTTGTTTTCTCAAGTCTGCTAATAAAACGCTGTGTTCTACTCCCAGCTTTGTGATTTTAATAGACACAGTATAAATAAAATACAGACTCCGAACAGGGCGCTGTTGCTTGATTTGAAGATGGTTTGGCAAGAAGAAAATATCACGGAAAGAGTGTCAAGCAAAGCAGACCTATTTTCCGGGTTTTTATGAATAATCAGGGAAAAAGGTTTCGCCGTGTGATAAATCAGTAGTTTGTAAAAGTCAGAGAAAGTTGATGGTTTAGGAACGCATCTTGTTTAATGTCCTTTTTATTGGGTCCCATGTTGTGCAAATTGGGTTGGATAAGAAGTTTTAGAGCAATATTATTGGAAAAACCTTGCTTTATGTTGTTTTGAATTACCCAACGTGATATCCAATGCCAACAGTATATTGAATTTCTGAGGAAAAATAGTGTATTATGCAGTGTCCACGATGAGTCCTCGAAAAATGCCCTTGGATTGTTTGCGTGAGTAGGCGGAGTAGAGAAAAAGTGTATGATAACGACGGAATTCAGAATGATTTTGGTTTGAACTTGGATTTTCTTGCACTTAGCTCCGCTTTTGGTCATTCTTCAATATTCCCTATAGTGCAAAAGTGTCATCAACAGGCTTAGCTCTGTCACTGTACTATCAATGTTTATGCTGTACATGGTTGGAGAATCTAAAACACCGACATGGAGCAAAACAAGTGTTGAATCCCCAAACAGAACAATCACAAGTCAGACAATAAGTTGAAATTTTGTTTTTACTCGATTCTTAAACATGAAAGAATCATATTCTATCTGTCAAGTTTTGGATTTGAAAATAAGATCTTTTGTTTGTATTCTCTGCAAGACAATTCTGTTTGGATCACGCTGCTTTGTGAAGCCTAGAGTGAGAATGAAAAAAATATATACATTATCGTATTTTTGTCATTTTGTTGACGACGATTGGAATGATTTATGTTGGAATTAAAAACAATGGCTTGACTATAGTGAATAAGGCATTTTTTATTTCTCAGATGGTCTTATATTTATCAAAATAGTATCTCAGATGGACACAAATATTACAGTTAAACGCAGGTCACACTTTATATTGGGTTCACCGCTGACGCACAGGGCTCACGTCAGCTACTGTAGTTTGGGGAAATGTTTTTGTCAGATTCACCTGTTGGAAATATTACACACTCTTTATTACCGTACTTTGTCTCACTTAACCTTGGTATTGTTCTTGAATGCATGTATGTGTGAATGTGTGTGTGCATGCGTGCGTGTACAGTATGTGTGTGTGCTTGTATGTATACGTGTGTGTGTGTGTGTGTGTATGTGCGTGTGTGACCCTTCTTCTGATCTCCCACTGAGGTCGGAGAAAGTGTTTTCTTCTTCAAACACTTTAGACCGCCTGTAACAAGGCGTACACACAGCTCTCAAAGCGACCAACCACCAAGACTTGTTTGCGGAGATTTTTTAACAAGGTTTTCCAGCGCACATAAATGAAAAATGAAATCGTGAAGCTTGTCCCGAGCTAATCGTAAGATCCGTCCATCGCAGTGTGGTACAAAGCATTGTTATCTATGTATTTTGTATTATGTATTACTTTTTTAAAGCATTATTGTTAATATATAAACAGCATTTACAGAGAATTTGGTTTGGCTCATGGTGCAACAAGTTATCAGAAGTAAAAAAATAGATATAAAGGCATGCATCAAAGACAATGTAAACAGTACCTTTCTCTCATATGTACAGTATCTGTGTTGTAAATAACATATACTTGCACTGTAATGACAATAAAGTTGAATCTAATCAAATCTAATCTAAAGACATACAAGACAGGCTTTTTCTGTTGCTGCCCCCGCACTGTGGAATAGTCTAACTCTGCACATTACAACAACTCCTTCATTGGAGGTTTTTAAGTCTAGTCTAAAGACACATTGGGCTTTTAACACCAACTGAGTTTTACCATTTTACTTTGTACACGTATTTGTTTGTATTTTATGCTATTTTCTCTTATTTTGTGTCTTGAATCACTTTGGGCAGCTGGTGTTGTTGTAAATAAGCTATAAAAATAAAGACAATGACATTGACCTGTGACCTGTCCTGCTCCACCCAGAGGCTAAACTCCATCTCTGCTGCTGTGACCTGCTTATTATAACTATTATTAGCTTTTTAGAATGATCTATTTTATTTTGTATTTTTGCTGCTACTGGACACCTGAATTTCTTCTATGGGGATCAATAAAGTATCTATCTATCTATCTACTATTATTACTATTGCAACAACACATCATCAGTAGGGTAAAACTAAACTGTCTCACGACGGTCTAAACCCAGCTCACGTTCCCTGTTAGTGGGTGAACAATCCAACGCCTGGTGAATTCTGCTTCATAATGATAGGAAGAGCTGACATCGAGGGATCAAAAAGTGACATTGCTATGACGTATCCATCTATCTATCTATCTATCTGACATTGACATACTAAATACAGGCAGGGACGAGACAGGACACACTGAAACAGGACACAGGTGTGAGTGGTGATCAGAAACACAGCTCCACTTTAGATCATAACTTACAACATGTTCAGTGTAGTATTTTCAGGTCTCACCTTTGCAGGTCTTGCGGTCCGGCTGCAGAGTGAAGCCGACCGGACAGCTGCAGCGCACCCCGGTCACTGAGTCATGACACGTGCTGTCACATCCACCATTGTTCACCGCACACGTCTCTGCAATGACACAAACAAACACTCTTTTCAACAAGTCAAATGGTTCATACTCTGACAAACTACTTACCCCACCTCTGAAAACATGCCAGTTAGTCAGAATTAGAAATATTGTTTGTCACAAGCAGCAGGCGGAAATAAGAAACCACAGGAGTTTCCAACAGTGAGTTCAGAAGAGGATCAAACTAAAGATGCAGGAAATGTTGTCAGTAAATAATGGATATTACGGCCATGGGCTTTGCTCGTACTGTGTGTATTGCTGCAAACAATGATGCTGTTAAATGATTACCAGTTTATACTACTGCAATATATAGTATGCATAAAATAATAAACAAATATATCTATTTATAATTGTATGTATTTGTCTATTTTCAGTGTTGTCTGTGTCGACTATTGGAAATCTACTGTACTATTTACTACAAGACACTCAATAAGTCCTCTCACATTAGTCCTGGTCTCAAGTCTCTGGGCTGAAGTCCTCTCACATTAGTCCTGGTCTCAAGTCTCTGAGCTGAAGTCCTCTTACATTAGTCCTGGTCTCAGGTCTCCACAAGCCTTAGGTCTTAGCAGGACTTTACAGCAGCTCTGCTTGTGTCAAAGTCTCCCCTGGCCGAGGTCCTAAACTGTTCTCTTTAGAATAAGACCGAGGACTCCTGCTCTCTTCTCTCGGGAAGTAATTTCATACTGATTATTTATTTACAGATTTTATGGTTTGTAGTCACTTTAATTAGTCTGCTTCTGTGCTAAAAGAGCTCCGCAAATACATAAGATGAACAATACATAAAAACACAATGAATAATAAAAATGGTAAAACATTAATATAAGACATTAAAACAAGCTATTAGGCACATGCCCCTTAATGAAACTATAAATATAATGAACAAAACAACAGCCCCCTCCACCCTTACTTCACAATGCTCACTTTCCCGTTGAATAAAGCCACCAGGGCCAGAAAATCTTTTTAAAAAGTGGGTCCCGATTGTACAAAGTTTAGCCGTCTGCATGCTTGTCTTTGGTCAAGGTTGAATTATAAACTCTGCACCGCGCTCGCCTTCAGCTATCACACCAATGCGGACCTTTTGCAGCATCTGACAACACCTTGCAGCCATTTGAGGGATAAAAAAGCAATTTCGTCGCCGTAACTCCTGTATTGGCCATTTGGAAAAAAATAAAAACTAGTCAGTCAGAATGGGATAGCAGCACGTTTCGTCTTCCCCGCGGAAAGTGACAAATTTCAACAAACGCACCATTTGTTTTCACGGACACTGCGTTGATAGTTTGCTTTACAGGAACTTATTCATATCATACAACAGACTTCCAGATAAGACTGCAGCGTGCCCTTGTCGCTGCTGAATGCCAGAACTGTCATCGCTCTGGTTTGACACAAAGATGGAAGAAAGACAAGTATAGTTTGTTTTTTATGGCCAATGAGGATCGCTTTGGGGAAACACTTCTCTCCACTTAAATACTAGAAAGTGCAGAGCCGGGAGCAGCAATAAAAGCAGGAGTAAAAAGCTGCCAGGATTGATATGATGCGTCAAAGTAAAACAGGTGTTGAGACGAATGATGCAATTGTGATGTTTCTGGTTGTTATGGTGACGCAATTCATCAACGCGCTGTATGTTGGAGCTGGTGATAAATTTAAAGAGGCGTTTGTTTTGTTTTATGAGAAGTGCACGAAGACGATAACTTCCAAACTTATGTTTTAGCTGTGCAGTGTTTGCAGCTCACTGGGAAACTCCTGCATAGACGTGGGTCAGAGAAAGTACAACAATAAACACATGTGACTGAACATTCTTAGCGTGAAGCGAATTAGCATTTTATTGCATCTGGAATTAACCCCAGACCCGCTCTGCAGATTGCACTTCAATAATTGAAGATCTCGAACTTTAACTAACTTTTTTTATTAGGGTTTTCAAACTTGGTGGAATTGTTGAAATGTATTATAGTTTCACCATAAATCCACATTTGGGAAATAAAGAAAGAAAGAAATAACAGTTTTTTAACTGATGACATCACAAGAGAAGTATTCATCTTCGTTTGGCACAATGTATAGCCATAAAAAACTGTGTTTTGGAGAACAATTTAAGTGTTGCATTAGTGACACGTATTATAAAAAGTTAGTTCAACTCATACATTCAAAGCAACCAGCTGCGAAGGATTTTTTAGTTGAAGGCATTAACTTAATTCTTCACGTTTTGAAGAACTATACTTATTAAGTTGTGTCAGCTAAGTTTTCAAAGTTCTGCCAACTAAGTTTTTAAATTCAAGTTACTGGAAATTTCAAGTCTTTAAAAACTTACTTTTTTAAGTTCAGATTACTGTCTCCTACAATAATTTACTATTTTGAGTTTAAATTAGCCTCCACATTAAACCATCATGATGTTTATTTATATACTGTAGCGCATTTTACAGACCAAGGTCTCCTGGGCAGGGGAAACCGGAGCACCCGAAACCTATGCAGACACAGAGAACATGCAAATTCCACTCCGAAAGGCCCTGTTCTGACCGGGATTCAAACTAGTTCGAATTAGTGGGGAAAACTAATATTTCCAAGACTGACCCAGGGAACATATAGGGCTACTTTGGCTTGGTCCCGTCGGTTACGGTTGGTAAAAATAAATACAATGATGTTTTTGGTCAATTTAGTTTTTTCAAAATGTTGAATGCAGCTGGTTGCCATGAAAAATATTTAAATGAGCAAACGCAAATAAGTTGACCTCACTCGAGCTCAGATTTTTGCATTCACTGACAATAAAATTGCCAATTGGAACTGGAACTGTCTGTTGTGAGCCACTTGAACTCACTTTCAGAAGTTCACTACAACTTCAAAGTAAAATCAACTTAATATATCAAATAAGGTGAACTTTTCATCAGAAACCTCTGAGAGTGAGTTCAAGTGGCTCCCAACAGACAGTTGCAGTTCCAACTGGCAATTTTATTGTCAGTGAATGCAAAAATCTTAGTAAGGTGAACAATTTTGAGTTGTCGTTTTTACAGTGTTGGAATTAATCAACCCTTCTGTTGTATCATGACAGTTTATAATTGTCATTTTTTAAGCCTTTTGAAATTATACCTATTACAATGTAATATATTTGTTACATGAAATAAAAGTAGAACTATACAGGAGGCATATGCCAGACCTAATATATATGTTTTTAGTGGTAGGAGAAACCAGGGCACCCAGAGGAAACACATTATGCAAACTCCACACAGAACAGGTCAATTCCACCTCATATAGAGGTGGAATCGATCCCAGAACCTTCTGACGCTGTGGAGAGAACAGCTACAGGCTCATTTCCTTTTAATGAATTGTTTATTATGTAATTGTTTTACATATTATTTCACTTGAATCGCTCTGGTGTGTTAGAAAATACATTATAAAGGCAGTCAGAATACTGCAGAGTGTAAAACTATTATTATCAGTAGAAAACAGCATCTCCAGCATCAGCCTCTTGCACAAAGCCAGCGTGTTTTGCCTGTCTAATTGTGTTTTGGCCTTTTGTAATGATTCTGTCAGTGGATCTCAGCTGTGGGCAGGGTTAGGGCTCAGAGCAGACCTGTGGGTTGACATAATTGCAAAGTGTGAGAGGAGCCGACTGGCAGAGCGAGACATGCCTTTGGAATCGCTTAGTCAGGCCCCATCTCACCAAACTGTAATGATCGAGTGCTGCAGGAACTAAGATGTATTTTTGACATGCTGGTTTCCTGGCTATGTGCGCGGGTTTGTGTCTCTTGGACCACAGTGCATGAGGCCTTTTGTCAATAAATAAAGAAGTGTAGTATGCGCCGGGCGGCAGAGCATCTTTCATACAGTCTGAATGCTGCGTTAAAATAAAAGTGTGGATTTTGACAAGCTAGAGTCAAAGACAAACATTCAGGCGAAGATATAAGTAATTGAAGTGATCACATTCGGGTCTTTTTCAATGTGCATTTTTAAACAGAAATATTTGGAAAAATACATATTTAAGTAGGAACATTTGGTTTCTGTCATTTAAATTGTTACAAGAAGGGATATTACATTTGGAACCCAAGCTGTACCAGTCTATTCAATTCAATTCAACCAGAGGGCATATTAAGCTAGAGTCTGGCTCAATTTTCCCCCTGGGTGCTAGACAGATGTAATCGTGGACTGAAATCCAGTTCATTAACGTCAAAAGAGGGACTGTATTTGTGTCATGGGGTTGGCTTTTTGAATACCTGCATTTATTTTGATATATTGTGTCCGTCCTGTTGTTTTCCTCACTCTGATGTGTCCCTGTGTGTATCTAGACCCTTTGCTCTTGGCCTTTTGTTGCCGGTCCCATGTCTTGTCTCTGGTTTCAAGTTTTACGTTTGGTTTTCTTTATCTTGTGGCATGTATTACATTATAATATTTTGCGGTTGTGCTTTTGGGTCTTTCCTTTTTTCATTTTAAACTGTGACAATTAAAAAAAAAACCTTAATTAGAACGAATTTCCTGAGACGCTACACCTTTCCCTGAATGTGTGATTTTGTTGATATTTTTAGCCTCAATCTCACAACAATAACAAAAAGAACTCTGTTGGGAATACGCGGTGCCACAGTGGGAAGGCTGTGGGTCTAAAGTGTCTAGTGTCCTCACTCCGGGTCAGTCGCAGGTTCGGGGCGTGTACAGTATATCTTTGCTCTTTTTAATGCAATGTTATTATTTATTATTTTAATGCCTTGTGTGATTTTTTTTTATGTTTCTTTCCTTGTTTTGTTTTTTGTTTGAGTTGCCTTGTTATTATCAACTGTGGTATACAAATAAACTTGCCTGGCCTTACACTGGCCTCAGAGTGGGGTGCGCATGTACGGAAAGTAAATTTTCTTGTTCGGGATCTGTTTTGTGCCTCACTTTGGGACGGATAAAGGATCTCTTCATCTTAATCTTACTCATGCTAATCTAAGCAGTTTTTAAAGTAGCAGTATGTAATATTTGTATGTCAAGTCATCATTAAATGGCCCCCATATTTCAAAAGGCGTTATTAAATCATACTCTTTTCGAATACATCTTTAACTGATAACAGTGGTTCAGCCGAGATATTTGATTATCAAAATTAGTTTTACGACCCGTAAAAGTTATTATTGTTTTGATTTTGATGTCCTACCCTCCGCCGTTTCGCCAATCAGGAAGTGTCATGTAAGTCTGTGATCGGGTTGCCAGAACTCCGCGCGGCTCATTAATCTCAGTGGTAAAATAACATGTGCCGCAGAACTAAAAAATGTCTTGTTATGACTCTCAAATCATTAATGACAAAACAAAGACTAAAACGAGGATTTATATCGGGATGCCTTTGAACAATTGAGACAGCTGATAAAAGTTTACGTGTGATGCAGAATTTGCTGATTTCACTCCGTTCTTCAGAGCAATTCTGTCTGCGCGAATCGGTGGTCTAGTGTTTAAAACTGTTCGTTCACGATGCAGGAACCCGGGTTCGATTCCAGATATAGTCTTTTTGTATTTATTGCATGTTATCACATTCTATGACAGATTGCTCTAAAAACGGTAAAAGACGAAGGTCAAGACGTTTATTTGCAGATTATAGCTTAATTGTAAAAAGAATCATTTAAGACCACATGTACCCCAATTAAAATAATGTTAGTCTCTTTTTGATGTGGGACTTATACATGTTTGTCTAAAAAAAATAGGGAATAAATAAAATTGAAAGGTGATATCCTCTTGAGCAAACCCTGATGTTGATACGCTGAAGAAATACGTTCCAACATCCATTCTTCCCACTCCTATTTTGGACATCAATTGCTTATTTATTTTGGATAATCTATAATTACATTGCTTTTATTTTGTTTTGTATTTTTTATCTCAAATGTCCAAATGAAAAAATAAAAATAAACATTCATTCAACATTAGCAGCCTCATGGCAATGTGAATGGAGACGGACAAACAACTGATAAAATAATTCCCTGTGTTTGCTGCTGGATTTGGTGTGTATCTGGCAACCTGAGTCACTTTTGGCCAGATTTTTTCATATTGTTCCTTTAAATAGAGGTTTCTCAAGTAATAAAAAACAAAAATATATATACCAAAAAATAATAACTTCCAAATGATACAGTCAGGGGAAGGAGTAGCAAGAAGGTCCTGGGTTCGACTCCTGGTAGTAACAGGGCCTTTACGGGGGGTTTCCTCCAGGTGCTCCGGTTCCCCTTACCACTAAAAAAACATGTACAAAAGACAAAATCCTCAAGCTCTGGTCTTGACCAAGCCGAGCATCAACATCTTGAGATGGATTCCCGCTCCTGAAAGAAGTTCTAGTTGCAATGAGAGATGGGTCAAATGCAGAAGACAAATTTCCCTACGAGGATAATAAAGTAGAACTGAACTGCGCGGATTCCAACACATTTACATCTGTCTATAAATTATACTATAGCTGTATTTACTGTAGCAAATACTCTTGTAGAGAGATGATTTTTGAAAATCATGTGTTAAAACTGTTCATTAAGATTACATACACAAATACCACAAACGTGCAAGACCATTGCGCCACTAGTGAGTAAATAAGTAAGTAATCTTTATTTAGTCTAGTCAAGTCTTTTGGGAATATTGGGGGTATATATCAAAAGAAAAAATCATCCAAATGAAATCAAAATGCAACATGTCTCCTGCTGGTTTTATTCCTATTTTAAGGGATTATAAAAGACTATAAACTAGGACAGGAAACCCCTAAATTTGTAAATAGGTCAGACTCGGTGCGTGTAGCATGTAGCTGGGTGTTGGTGAAGCGGTGGTTAACTTAGAAGGACATAGTTTGAGTTGATTTAAGAACAAAGACAATGGACCTGTGCTGTAACCGCAACACACCACCACCATACACACTTATATCTCAGGGCATGTCCTTAAAAACATATTCCTTGTGTTTCTTAATTAGACTCAGGTATTATCAAATAATTGAATGGTAGAAAATGTGATTAGTATAATTGGTTAGAACGACTCGGCCACAAATTATGCTTCAAAGGGTGAGAAAGGTAATGCAGGGAGAAAATGTTTTGTGTTTGCTCATTGAGATGTTCCATTAGCAAAGGTTTGGCTTTACTCACATGTGTCGTCATGGAAACATACAAGCTTCTTACTATGACGTTAAATATAGGTTGCGTTCAGGTTGTTGAATTATATTGCAGGCGGAGGACAGGTGCCAATACAACGCTACAGGAATAGGGGAATATGGATTAGATTTGATTAATTAGATAGATTAGGGATTAGATTCAGAAAGTCCTTACTACTGGCCAACATCATGCATATGTTTTTGAATATTGTCACCACTTCTCGACACATTTATGAGAAAAGACCATAGTTGACATGATCTGGAGCTTTGTGACGGTTTTTGTTCAATGTTGATTGGACCTAACCTTGCCTGCAAGCTGAATTCTCGTGGCATTTGTAAGTTCACAAACACTCGAGAATACATCTTGTCCCACTCCCGCCAACCCTTTTCGAGTAGAACATCTAGGTGTTCAAGCCAATCACGCGCCTGTCTAGGGGTTTAGGGCGGGATATCCGGGTTTGACGAAAGCAAGAAGTGCCGGGCCGAAGCAAAACAAACATGGCTACGCAGGAGGACGGACGCGTAGCTGAGGCTATCAAGTCAGTTTTAGCAGAATCTCCAATTTCCTTTTTGAAAGATGAACAGCGAGAGGCGCTTTGTGCATTTCTGAACGGCAACCTTGGTAGGCGGGCACACAGCGTCACTTCGCCCAATCAGCTTGAAGTATTCTGCTGCTTATCCCTCCTTTCCCCGAAAGGATTCTCCTGCAGAAGTCCCAGATTGATATTGTGGAGAACGCATTAGAGTTCTACACAATCATCAATCTGGCTCTTGCCAGGTTAGATTGGACCAGGAATTTTCAGATTCCCTACACCACTATTCAAAACTATAGGCTCTTTGGAATTTTGTCATTTCATATGAACACAACCTATTGGCAAAAACACAATTATTTCTCAAACTGATTATTTAAATGCTGTGTGTGTATCTAATTCTGTTCAGCCCTTTGAGTTGCCTTGTGTATGCTAAACAAATAAACTTGCCTTGCCTACTACATTTTACAAGCGTAAACATCTTCGATTGCACCTGGGGTAAATGTCACTTCTTTATGGGTAACTTCAACTGACTTTTTCAAACATCCTTTGAACTACTTGTCATCATGGCTCCAACAAACACACTGCCGCTGTATTTAAATAAAACTGAAATAAGATCAGAGAAACATATTCATTTTCTGGTATGACAAAAGTATCCAGTCGTGTTAATCTTGGATTGGTTGTATGTGTGGCGTCATGCTGTAGAAGTCAATATTATAAACAGTATCTTGCCAAACCGTCTACCATCTTTCTCAATCTTAACCCAAACTCGACCACAGACTGAGCTGACTTCAGAATCATGTTTGAGCAAAAGTTTAGAAAGCTTTGACTCATGTGCACAAGGTCATAGAATAACTGTCATGTTACACTGCAAAAACATGATTAAAATATCGAAAAAAAAGCTTGAATGAAGTGGTTTCATCTTGCATTGAGTAAATTTTGACTTTGTCTTAGAACAAGATTTCCCATCAGGACATACAGTGTAGACAGAACTTGAATGTGATATTATGTTTGTCCCATTGTCAAATCCTGTTTTAAGTCAAAATGTACGCCAACGCAGAACCCTTTTGCCAAATTCAAGCCATTTTCGACTCATTTCTTGTCACTTTTTGCAGTGTGGTGCAGCGTTTGTTATGGAGAGGGCAGTGGCAGGAGGAAGGAGGGGTCAGAGAACAGGGTCCCACTCCCACAGAGCCGGAGAGGAGCAGGACGGACCATATTTACCATTGGGGAACAGCTGGGGGGCTGCCTGGGACGGGACACTCCTCTCCCCTGCATGCACACACACACATTTATTTGACTCAGCCACAGCAAAAGTCATCAAATACCATGTTTTATCACTGCATGAATTAACCATTAATTATTTGATTCACGATTACAGTCTTGTTCTGGATTGGTTTTTACTCATCTTGAATTATTTAGTTGGTCTGTCTAAAGTTTCGGTCTTTTTCTGCAATCTTTTCTTCATCCAAGCAAATGCATCACCAGAGTAAGACAGATTTACTTATTTTGAATATCATACATTTTGGATAGTATGTCTTTCTCCACTGACAATGCAGCTTGAACTCATGGGTGATGCATAGGCAAAAAAATATACAAAAACCTAGGATGTGAATTGGTTTAACTATAATATGACGGCTGACTCATGGCACTGGTCCTGATGGTGACATTTCCAGGCAAAAGTGTTACCTTGGAACATGCAGTCATGCAAATAAGTGAGCCACACACAAGTGCTTTGTGCTGGACTGGGCTCAGGCTGTTAGTGCGAGCAGCAGAAGTGTTAGTCCGCCAACAGAGACAAGTGAAGAGGATGAGCAAACACACAATTACAGCATCACTGAGAAAACAGTGCTCCTGGATGTGTGGATGGCAACAGGTTGAAATATTGTAGAATTCAAGGTTCAGACTGAAAGAATGGGATGAGTCCTTAACATACTGGACGGCGGTGGAGTGCTGTACGAGTATTAAAACAAAAAAGCAAGAAACTTTGCTATTTGGCAGGTTTCAAGCTTTTCATGTTCAATGCCACATGTATCTAGATTGAGAGTGAAATGCACAAGCCTGAAGGGAACTGATCTGAGTCAATGTAACTGACAGAGACACAAACATTTATCAACTGTAACGTGTGCAGTTGGGGCACTGGTATACACACTAGGGGACATAGTGGCACAACTGATCAGTCAGCTCCTGCATTGAACAAAATCTCAGACTCTAGAGCAGGGGTGTCACACTAATCTTCAAAGGGCCGGTGTGGCTGCAACCAAGTAGGAGCACAACCGGCTCCACCCATTTCCTCAAGTCTCCAGGTTTAAATTGGAATCACTTGAGGAAATGGGTGGAGTCCTGGTGTGCTCCTGCTTGGTTGGAATGAAATCCTTCAGCCATATCTACCCTTTCTGGAACCAGTCTGACACACCCACTCTCGGGTCAAGCTAACCAGTCTCTGATATTAATGATTGAGATGAAAAATGTCCTCCTGTCAAACCCACTACAGAAACTGTTCACAGTCATTATGAGTTGAGAGAAACACCAAAAATGTAGAACTATGTGATGAAATAGTTGTATATCTGTGAGAGGGGTTGATCTCTGGAATGGATTCACAGATGAACTTAACTCGTGTAATTCACTTTTCCACTTTAAAGTTTAAAACTATCATTTTGAACGGCTATAAACTCAGAATGTTGATGTTTATACAGTTGCTTATGTAAATCCATTTGTATACACTCACTTCACACTAAATGGACTTGTAAAATGGGTGAGTCCAATACGCGTTAGCTTCAGCCTACTGCTTTTCGGTCTTTCTGCTGCACATTTGCTGTTCTGTAACAAAATGTAAAATTACAAGTGACCAAAATAAACTTCAAACTTGATAACTCTGACACACTCCCGGAGCCACAGACACAGCAGAGGTCCACCTGCTGCTCGGAGCGTGGCCCAGACCACCTGACCCAGAGCCCGTTTACAGCTGGAGCACATGCATATAGAGTCTGCATGTCTACATTAGAGACTTGTATATGTTTATGCATGCTCCCTGTGTCGTGTTGTGAGGATGCTGCCTTCCCTTCAGTGTTTGGCATGACATAACCTCCTCTTCAGATGATTGAGCTGCCGAGCGTGTCTCCATCTGCCTGCCATTTGTGAATGTTTATGATTTGCCGTGCTAACATGGTGAGCACTTCCACATGACGAGCGCTGCTGGCACATTTCTGAACTGGGAACAGAGATTTCATGTACAAACAAAAGTAATTGGGCTATGGTAAGCTCAGTCAGAAATGTGCCTTGAAAGTTGGAGGAGATAATCATTGTTTCATTTGTTTGTGTGTTAGCATGTGAGAGTGGGCAGCGTGTGGCGGCCCAGTCTGCTTTGAAGATATCAGAAACAAGAAAGATGGAAATATACAGGAAGGAAGATAGCTGCACAAATATAGCCTGGTCTTACCATACCATTATACTCATTTCATTTCGTACTTTGGTCTGGATTTGCTTCATTCAACTCTGATAACAGGTGGGAGGGGTTAACTCCTTTTGCAGATTCAAACCATTGGATCTGAGTTTCTGTATCTGGTGGTGACGTAGGTAATGCGCCCGAGTGAGTGAGGCCCCTAGCATTTAGCCTAGCTTTAGCCATGTCCTTTGCCACTAACGGAGCCCATGGGGAGTAAAACCACAACATCTTTGCCCGCAATTAAATTGGATAAACTTTCCTCTTGCTCCAGCTTCAATTTCTTGATTTCTTCTTTGGGAGCTGAACCCGAACGGATTGAAGAGCTTCCTTTACTATCAAATTCGCCGCCATTGCCAAACTACAAGCAGCAAACTGGCGCAAACTCTTGACGTCACAACATCTACTGTACCAACAGAACCCGCCTCCTCCGCTCGCTGATTGGTCTGAGGAGATTCAACCGAGGCAACCGCAGCCACTAAAATCAGACCCAGACGTACATGTAGGGAAATGATAATTGACCAGAGTTTACAGATGGTACGGCCAGGCTAGTACAAACAGACTACGACTACTTTGACTACAACTTTCACTACGAATAGAAACTGTTCAAACTCCTCAACCCTGGTAATACAAGTACAAACATTGCAAAGAACATTCACTTCTTGAGAGAGTTCTAAATGTAAATACCACTATATGTCAAGAGGGGGACAGAGGATGGACAAAAAGGCAGCGTGGTCCTCTGTGTTCGCAAGGGCTGAATGCACCATGAGCATTACTGCATCTCTAAGACGCCTTTCAGTGGATACCATCGCCATGGAAACATACACATTTCACCGCCCCTCTCTGAATGCTTCACTTCACAGGTATTTCTCGCCGTGTGCCTTTTTTTTACTGTATGTTAAATTACATGGTGCGAAAAATATGCACTCCAGAATGCGGACATTATTCAAATAAGATTAAGCAGGGGGGAAGGAACATACCGAATCAACGTCCTTTCAATTCACCGTGAAGAGGACAAACACCGGCGCTTCCTTTGACCATTCTTGACACTATAAAGCTGTTGAGTGTAATTACGAGTGCATATTGTGGCCATGATTCAAGTTCCGTAGCAGATACAGGGACTTCTTGCCTTCCAAATCCTCTTTATGTGAAATAAAATCAATGGTTGTGACATTTTTCTTAGAACCACACAGATTTTGCGTCGTATTTTTGGTATCTGCACATCTTGAACTGTTGAAATATATGCATATAACTGACGAAAAGACATAGATATGAAGCGCATCCCTATAGGGTTGAATTAAGATAAGTTATTTAAAGATAGTGGCTTGGTCTTTTAATCTGTGGCAACCATGGCCCTTCATAAAAGATGTCTGAAATTTTTAAGCCTCAGCACTGAACTATGGACTATTATGGACTTTCAAACACTACATTAGCGGTAACACAAAATGCTGACAACAGACCATGGGAAGTACATTGCAAAAAATTATGAAACATAAAGTCAAAAATTGCTTAAATTTGGCAAAATGTATCTGAATTTGAGCAGATTTTTACTGCCTTAAAACAAGATTTGCCAAACGGGACAAGAAATGAAATGAAATCCCTTGAAATGAGAAAGTTAAGCAATAGTTTTTAAAATAAGACTTAATGGCGTTGTCCCATTGGCAAATCTTGTTTTAAGACAGTGAAAACATACTCAAATTAAGGCAAAAACCACTTGATTTCAGAATTTATCACCTCATATTTTATCATTGTTGGCAGTGGAAAAGATATGTTTTGTCTTCATGTAAAAAAAACAAAAAACATAATGAAACCAAATACCAAACGTATTTTACAAATTAAATGAATAACCAAGAAAATAATATTGGTTACAAACAGTGTGAGTTGTGGAAGTGGCCCCTTGGCTGCAGGAGACTTCTCAAAGATGCATGAACCACTATAAATTCAACTGTCGGTAGGTAAACAGAAGGGAAAACATTTATAACACTGTACAAAGCTCTTGGAATGTTGCTTTGCCCAATATGTCCCTGAGGACGCACTATTATTGTAAGAAAGAGTTAATGTAGGAGAAATGTGGTTGGGACCATTGTTTTTGCACAAGCAGCCAATTGTAAAATACGCCCTCTGATGAACTAATTTAATAACTAACTTATTCCCGGTCATCATTAGGACCAGTTTGAACCCATCAATAAAATGAAGCCAAAAAAAGAGTTAAAGAAAAGGCAAATGGCCAATTATATTATTTCAAATTACAGCTACAGCTTGTAAATGTGTTAAACGAACAACAATAGCACCACTTAATTGTTTAAATCAGTTAAACTCATCTTGGTCAGGGGTTTTTCCTTACACTTAAGTTTATGTGTCGCTCTTACTTTCTGGTTGATTTTTCTGAAAACAAAATGTGTTCTTTGTTTAGATTGAACCAAAACTGGACAAAAATGTCTTCTATATTTAACTTCTATTGATGTGTTGAGTTCAAATTTTAGAATGAATTCCAATTGGTTGTTTTCCTGAGAACGAAGATGATGTACAGTATGACATGCCTCGGTCGCCATTACCATCAACGCTGTAAGTTAATAATAATAATTGAAAATAATGTTAAGGGCCATTAAAAATTGTCTTGCGGGCTGGATTTGGCCCATGAGCCTGAGTTTGACATATCTAGCTTAAATGAAAGCAGTGACACAAGATAAGTGTTTGTCATATGTAACAAACAGTGTGTAGTATTTCCAGCTAAAGCAGGAGGTTTGCATCAGTTTCTTAGAAGCTACATGTGTCACAGGCTCCAGGTCCGTTCGATTCAACCCCAGACATAATTATACCCTCTTTTATATTTGCCACAGAAATTGTACGCTTTTGATCTTTCTCTATGCAGATTATTGTTCCCACTTATAACTAGAGCATTTTTTGTCTTCAGAGGCCAAAACTACCGGCCCCATAGGCTTTAACAAAAAGGCCTAAAACATTTTGTATTTAAGTCTAGTAACAAAATATCTGTAAATACTGCGAGCACAATTACAATTTAGAAGAATGCTCGGTTAAAACAGAAAAAGATAAAATAAGCATCAAAGAAGGTGGGATACACTTCTTGTTGACTACCATCGGAAAGAAATTCTGATTTTTAGACATTTTTCGTATTTGTGTGAAGGTGAAAAATGTAGTCAATTTTTGTTGTTTTGTGTTAGTTTTGTTTGTTTTACTTTTGTGTCTTTGTTTGTCCTAGCTTTGTGTTTTTTGTTGCACTCATTTATGTTGGTTGTCTGTCTTGATTTTTATTGTCCTTAAATAAAATAGAAAAAAACTAGACCATTGTGAATGCACCAAGGGGTTCTCAAACAGATTCTTCTTCTTCCTCTCTTTGATATTTTTCAGTCGTTTTAGAGAAAAATAGAGTGAGGCGTTAATATAAGAACCAAAACAGAAAAGTTTCCTATTGTATTTTTGAAGTTAGTAAAATGTCCGTAAACAACTAAGATGGACGTTGGTTATATTTGTTTTAATTATTTTTTTCTTTTTGCAAAACACTGTCAAGAGTTTTGACTTAGCAGTAATTTTCATACATAGTTAGTGGTTAAACGGTCACTTAAGAGCACTTGTTCACAGCCGAGGTGTTTTCCCCAAAACCATTTTAGCGTCACTCCGTCTGTCAAGAGGCCATTTGCCCACGGTCACTTTTATTAATTAATAATTACAGTTTTGGCCAAGCCCAGGCACTCACACGTCCAACCACAAAGTAGAACTCACTCCACAATATTCGGCAGCTTACAAAATCTTGGCACGATCACGCTACATTTGCACTTCGGAGAGAGAGACAGAGTTAGAGAGAGAGAAGGAAAAAAAAAGCTCCAGGGGCTAGGAACATATAATTTGGTTGTGGGTAGCAGTGTGGCGTGCTCTGGCCTGGTGGGGGACAGGGATAATGATAGGTTGGCTGACCAGAGTTCCTCAGGTCTGGCTTTCCTCAGGCCTGTGCTAATAAAGTGCATTAAAAACACTGGACTAATCAACCATTCTCCGGCAACTCGCTCTTCAAAGCCGACAGCCACTGAAACCACAAGACCCTTTCCTCTTAAAACCACTTATAAAAGCTTGTCGCTAAATATTATGGTTGAAAATCTGGGGGGAAAAATATAGCATGTGTTTTTGCACTGAATACAAGGGCTATGGAATTTTTGAACATTTCTAAAGATGTGAATTGTGTATCCATATTTTAGCTGTGATTTGGATTGTGTGCATGTTTCAGTTCCATAAAAGGTATTCATTGTTGCACATTGTAATTAAGTTCAGAGCTAAAAAACCATATGCTTTCTTTACTTTGGCCAGCTGAAACTGACCATAGAAAAATCAAAGAGCAGAACAAGCAAATTGTGGTTGTCTTCTGAAATAAACCAGTAAATATAGTTCTACATGTAGTTTGAACATACATTTAAACTACATTTGTATTTATATTATGTTTTCAATTGTTGCAAGAGCTGCTATTTACTCTGAAACCTGAACAGCACAGGGACTGGCCTCTTGCTGCAGACTCTGAGGAGCACAGGGACTGGCCTCCTGCTGCAGACTCTGAGGAGCACAGGGACTGGCCTCCTGCTGCAGACTCTGAGGAGCACAGGGACTGGCCTCTTGCTGGGACTCTGAGGAGCGCAGGGACTGGTGTCCTGCTGGGACTCTGAGGAGCGCAGGGACTGGCCTCTTGCTGGGACTCTGAGGAGCACAGGGACTGGCCTCTTGCTGGGACTCTGAGGAGCACAGGGACTGGCCTCTTGCTGGGACTCTGAGGAGCACAGGGACTGGCCTCTTGCTGGGACTCTGAGGAGCACAGGGACTGGCCTCTTGCTGGGACTCTGAGGAGCGCAGGGACTGGCCTCTTGCTGGGACTCTGAGGAGCACAGGGACTGGCCTCCGGCTGCAGACTCTGAGGAGCACAGGGACTGGCCTCTTGCTGGTGCCCAGAGTCGGGATTAAACACAGGAAGGCAGCGTTTCCAATTTCTGAAGCTAAAATCTGGAACAGTCTTCCTGAAAATGTGAGACAGGCTTCTTCTCTGACCATGTTCAAATCCAGGGTAAAAACAGTTCTGTTTAACTGAGCTACAACGGGAGGATTTACCTTCACTCTTTTTAAGGTCATGTGATTATTTATGATTTCATTACCTGGTGTATGAACTGTGCTATACAAAAAAACTTGCCTTGCATTTCATCTCAACATGGACTTGGACATAGCAGAGACAACAAGTAAAGCTGGGTAACTTATTTTCTTTAATTCATAAATAATACTTAATGTGGTCTGTTTGTTCACAGAATGTACTTTTAAATCAACAACTTTGTAAAGTTCTCCGAGACGACTGCGGCTGTGATTTAGGGCGATACCAAAATAAATAGCATTGAATTTAAAGCTAGAAGGAGGTGTTTATTTTGTTTGTACAAATTATAAAATTCCCGGCAAACACAGCCATGTGTTAGTGAAGATAATCTAACTTGAGAAATTTCCAAAACAAATTCATGAGAAATACTTTTGTTTAAAAAGGAAAAAATCTGCTCTGAATGTGATAGTGGTACAATGACTGAGACAGAAGAGTCACACGTTTGGCCAGAAGTTCCTAATATTATCATGAATGGATTTAAAAACAAATCCACGTCCGTTTTTTGACAAGGGAAATGAAGTCACATGCCTAAAAGCTAACAACAAAAGTCAATTGTGCATAATTTGTCTCTTTTAAGCTGTACTTTCTCACTCATACTGTCTTTTTCCACAAGCCTATACAATTGCAAGTAGACTTTGTCAGATACACAGCCTTGTAAAAAAAATTCAGATTGATTTCATGTAAAGCAGGCGTCCAATCCAATAGGGTATTTGTATAGGTAACAGTGTTGTGTAATGAATTGTCAATCTCCTCCTGCATGGTTAGGTGCGTACAGTAATGTTATTTGCTGCCTGGGGGTCGGCCCGCATGGAAGACCGCCTTTCACCCACACTTCACTTCCACTGTACTGTGTAGTAGCTCAATCATGTCCTTCTCTATACAATCAAACCCACGCGGACACATTGGCGAAAAATTGGCAAAAGCAAAAGGCAGGTCCCGGCAAGTTTGTGTGTGTGTGTGTGTGTGTGTGTGTGTTCGTTATCCCCAGTGAAAGTGGAACAGCCATTGACCTGCGTCCTGATCAAGAATGTGTTTGAATGGGGGAGAAAGGGAGGAGGAGGAGTGAGAGAGGGGTGAGGAAGAGGCCAAAGCGAGAAGCAGAGGTTACAAAGCAGCAGCAGCAGCAGCGGCAGAGTGGTGAGCCTTTTGTCCTTCCATGTCACAGGTCAAAACTACTGTTAACCCTGTACTTTCTGTTTCTATGGTGAACCAAAAGTGGAGAAAAACCATACATATAAAGAAGGAAAGATAAATGCCTTCAAGCTCTAATGTCGAGTGAAGAGAATAAAGAATTGAAGTGCATGTGACAGGTTGGATTATGCACTAAAAGGTGTTAAAGATGTTTTTTTTAAGTTAAGCTAGTTATTCCTATCGATTGGGAAATATATCATTACGCCCTGCTTGATATGATCGATATGACAAGGTTAGAAGTAGTTATCAATAGATCGGCAGAATCCATTAGAAATTTAAGTAACATTTTTTGATGAATTTTTATGTTTTTATGACTTTTTTTTTAGGTTTCATTTTACGTCACAAACTGATAATATATATTTTTTACTGCTATAGACAAGGACATTTGTATTTATACATGTATTGTTATGGTGTCACAATTCTAAATTTCAAAATCAATTCTAATATTAGACAAAAAATACTCAATGCCAAATTCTATAGTACAGCAGATATTTATACTTTTTGGACTAAAAAAACCAACATGTTTTTAATTCATATTATTAATATATTTTGGGGCCTAAATGGTTGTATACAAGTTAATCTAATAGTCTGAAATTTAGCATTTTGTCCTATTTATTCAAAACAGTATCCAGCTTCATTACTTTTTTTATGTGATACTCAATACTTTTTACAACATTTGATTTTTAATGGTATTGACCTTCACTTAACCAGGATAGTCCCACTGAGATTTCAGAATTGACTTGGCCCCAGAGCGAGAAATAAAGTGGAAAAAGTACATTTTAACCTGTCATATGCACTTGTGTGATACCATAATAGACATAGTTCTTACTTACAGCAGGAAACTAAATAACAATAATAAAACCATAATGATTGCTCTGCAGCTATAGCTTTTACCTAACCGCGTATTATAATCGGCCCGTATCAGGATGACCCACCTACACAAGTCTTTCCATCGCTGTGCAGGACAAACTTCATGTGACAGGAGCACTTTGGCCCGTGGTCCGTCTCCTCGCAGATGTGCTGGCAGCCGCCGTTTCCATAGTTACACGTCACTAACAAAAAGACAAATATAAGTGTAGAAGTTAAAGACAGGGAGAAAGACAGCAGTTCTGCCACAATGCAAGGACCACACTGCAGAGCAACAAGAACGCACACAAGACATCTGTTAGGCCTTTTTTACGATAATATTAAGTCACATTGTTATTGCATGTTATATAAATCTATCATATAAGAGTTAGCAGAGCGTTAGATAAGCAGCAAAAAACTTTACAAAAAATATCTGTATCCTCTGTTTCTAGATACATATTGAATAGTGTCATGCAAATTGAGATTGTATCGATATCGAGATCATATCGTATCGAGAGGCTCTGAGAGATACCCAGCCCTAGTTAAAATGTAATGTCAATATTACATCTGGACAGCTTTCCAAGATGGCGCCGAGTCAGGGCGCCTCAGCCAGAGCTCTGTCTGGTGCACACTGGGGACTTTTGCAAATGTATTCCAATGTGGTTTTACTACAAATGGCAAGTAAAATGTATCTAAATCTACATAGCATTGCTTCGAAATGGTGTTTACAGGTTACCAGTCGAGGAATGCGTTTATGTCGTTCCTTATTGGGATCATTGACAAAAAACACAATGTCAAGTTTTAAAGGCCTGCCATAATCTCATACCGTCGAAGTATTTTAAGGTCTTTGGTCTTAGTTGCATTCGATTATGAATTCAGAATCAGAATCCTTTTCAGTGGCTCAAATACATTTGGAAATCCTACTGTTTGAAAGTAATTTTAAAGCTGCACTAACTGACTTTGGGATTTTGAAGCCGCGGACTCGCTGGCCTCGCTCTTTCTGCTCCCCTCCCCGCACCCACGAAGCTATCGCCCCCCACACACACCCACTGTTGGGACGAAGTAAGCGCCTCCCAATATGGATAATACATGGATATGGATTTGCACTTGGATGGCGTGACCATAGAACGATAGAACCGGGAAGCACGGAGGAACGAGACTTTCTTTTGGATGGCTGTCTCGCTGTGTAAGCAGTAACCGGTGATGAAGACGAGGAATCTTCAGGTTAGCTCCTCGGCTTGTTGTGCTAACTCAGCTGTCTATGCTAACGGACCTGTAGATTTCTCACGAAAGTGGGGGCTATTGGTCCGATGTGATTGGACACAATCTGAGACCCGAAACACATTCTCTTCCTTGTTTCATCCAAACTCGATCTAAAATATAATGTCACGCCAGCACAAATCTGTGCTACTTTTTCTTCAAAAGGACGTATATCCCAATGCACTACATGGACATGGATGGCATTTTCGTAATGAATACAAAAATAAAGTCATTTAGTGCAGCTTTAATTTATATCGTACATTTTACAGACCAAGGTCACCCAAAGCGCTTTACAACGTTCAGAGTTCAATTTACTCATTACATTCAAGCCTATTTTACATGTTTTTAGTGGTAGGGGAAACCACCTGCAGCACCCAGAGGAAACCTAAGCGGACACGGGGAGAACACGGAGGTGGAATCGAACCCAGAACCTTCTTGCTGTAAAACACAAGCTCTAACCGGGCGTCTTCACCAAAGGAAAGATCAATAAAAGTATTGTACAGATGTGGCCTGTGGACTTTTAATGCCTTTTTTGCTGAACCCATAACTATTGTCATCAATCGGCTTTTAACAAATCATTACCTATTAATCTACAACACCTTTTCTCAATTTGGGAAAAAGCCCATAATCTGAGAGGATTTGGATACTTCACACTACCTAAAATTCGAACTACTCGTAAAAGCTTTTGTGTATCTGTACGAGGTGTGAAACTATGGAACAGTCTGGATGCACACCACAAGCAATGCCAAAATATTCACAGATTCAAACTATTATACAAACATCTGGTCTGGTCACAATATATAGAAAGTGGGTCTTAATTGTTCTGTACTTCTGTATTGTGTTTGTGTCATGTATTTGTCATTCCTTACCATTGCTGGTTTTGTCTCTTACCATTGCTGGTATTGTCGCTTACCATTGCTGGTATTGTCCCTTACGATTGCTTGTATTGTCTCTTACCATTGTTAGTCCTGTATTACTGTTGTCATATGTAACTCTGATGCGTTACTATGGTAACTCCACAATGTGAATACTCAAACCTTTCTGTGTTAATATAGTGCAGAAGTCGAAAATTGTTGATAGCCCTGTCTCGCAAAGAAGCAAATTTTTGTTGTATACATATTATGGGGGTAGGATTAAATAAGTTTTCTTCTTCCTACTCCCTTTCAGGCAAATATTTTGGTTTATTTTTAATTTTATTTTCATGCATGTTAGCAATGCTTTACTTATTTTTATTTTTTGTTGGAAACTATGATGAACAAGAGGTGACTGCTGCCTCATGTGAAATGCCTGAAATGAATAAATAAACAAACAAACAATCGTCCACACATTCATTCCCTTTTCATTTTACCTGTTTTTTTTTTCAGTAAAGTTACAACAAATATATTATATGGTAAGACTCAACCATTTTTTGTGTGTGTGAAAGTCTCGCTCCACTTTCCCAGGTGACCCAAATACAAATGTACCAACCCATTCTTCTTTACCGGCACTTAGGATTGCACCATAATCAACACCTTCACACTTCTAAAGTCAAAAGCAACATATTTAGGGCGACCTCCTTCCCGTCTTATCATCCCAAATCCTGCTGTTGCGTTCAAGTGTGAATCAGCTAATCTCCGAGTGCTGAAACGTAGACGCTGGGGGGTGACGGCGGTCTTAACCCCAACACTTTCAACGTGGCATGTGATGACAGAGTGAAAGCCATCACCACCACCACTGCTGCCTACACCCTCCCCTGAGCTGTTGCTCTCAGGAAGACTGGGAATGGTATAGAGGCCATAAAACTCAGAGTAGAGAAAGAAAGACTGGAGAGATGTAGGGTACGGTAATAATACTGTAATAAAACTAGGGCTGTAACTAGGTAATCGTTTCATCACAACTAATCTATTATTGACATTTTTGAACTTATGTAGGCTTAGATTTCTAAGCCTACATTGGCTTGTAGGCTTGTTTTTTATATTATTTATACAATATCATTTTTTAAATATATTCACTTATCATTCTGACTTTGGGATGAGAAAGGATCTCTTTATTGTAACCCTTTAATGTACACTCCTTGAAGAAAGCAATGCATTATTTATTTATTTTCTAAAATGGAGGAGCACAGATAACAAAAATAATTAGTTTTTATTATTTTGTTATTTTATTTTACAGCTAGTCTTCATGAAGATGCTCTTGCTTTGATAAAGTAAGTGCGTAATAGTTAGTCAGATTTATGGAGAAATCCCAGATTCACAGACCATTTGTGGACTAAACATCTAAACAAACATTGTTTAAACCAGGCAATATTTGTCAATTGTCAATGTTGATGTCAGCTGTTTTTGTAAAGCACATGCACAACACCAGCTGCTCAAAATGCATCACATGCACAAAGGAAAAGAAATCAGCAGATGCACACCAATACATGTCAAATGTAAAACAGTAGAACTCAGTTGGTGTTATAAGCCATGGCACAATGTATCTTTAAAACCCTCAGATGAAGGAGCCGCTCTGATGTAAAGAGGTAAACTGTTCAGTGTCAGAGTGAGACTCATGAATAATTTCTCAGTAATCACCTGGAGTAAACCCTGAACTCTGGAGTACAGTACGTGCTGGACAATAAAGTCGTAGGGTTTAAAGAAATGAAAAAAGTAACAACTTATTGTTCATCAATTACGGTACTTTACTTTTAACCTTTTTAAGGGTTTGTCTTCAGCTGATTGACTTATGACAGACTAATGAAACAACTTCTCTGTATACCACAGTAACCTGTCTTTATTCAAATAGATTTCAACATAATTTCCAGAGTTTCCTCTCAGACATGCTCAGGGGATGCTAATTCATTTTGATGGTAAATTGTGTTGTATAAATGATTCATTAGTTTCTTTAGCACGAGTGACATCATGTTCAAGCAGGGGGCAGATGACAAAAGAACCACTGCACCTAATGACGTGCTGGGACACAAGGATAATGCTTTTATCCGCCACAGGTGCGAGGAGGAGGCAGGCAGTGTTAGCTACGTTGCTTATCTACTTATAAGAGGTGTTTTTCACAGAATAATGTTAGATAAAACAAAGATGAACCAATGTTTGGTTTTGCTGTTGATCTTGAATCCTTCTTTATAAATATTCTACTACTACTTATTTTACACATCTCCTCCACGTGCTGCTGTTTGTCTGGATGGTGATGTCAACTGTAGACCGTCATATTGATTGCAAATATGGGTGATTACTGGCAGGAACACTGAGTTGCACAGAAACACAGGGCCTGTTACACTTCAGTCCAAAGTAAACTTGGACTTAAAGTGAACCAATTTGGGTCAAAATGCTTCGTCTGTGGCTGTATGAAAACATCATGAAAACAGCGTACACTTGATTGATTGACTCCAGTAGTCATTGTGGTGGGTTTGCATCTGCACAATGAATTGGTTTGCTTAGCGTGAACTCTGGTTCACTTGGGACTCAAGAGAAGACACACCCAAACTCACATGTCAACTCTGACCCTGCAGAAAAAATGTGTAGAAACTAATTTCTGCAAGCAGGCACAGTGTTGTTCCACACAGAAATAGAAATAAAATCATGAGGAGGGCACGGTCCACTCGTAATTGAGGTGATTCTGGCCTTAAAGTGATAGTCTGGAACTCTAAATGAATAACAAATTTTAAGAATTGTATTAAATTGACCTCCTGGCCTTAAATGTTGATATAAAATAAGTAATTTTATGAATTCTAATACTACAAGTAAGTCCCGCCTTCCCTTCTCTTAGCTATAGCTCAAAATCCACGATGCCGTCCAGTTTAACCAATCTGTAGTCATGAAGTCATTTGAACGCCTGGTCCTCTCCCATCTCAAGACCCTCACCTCCCCCCTCCTGGACCCCCTGCAGTTCGCCTACAGAGCCAACAGATCTGTAGACAACGCCATTAACCTGGCCCTCCACCACATCCTACAGCACCTGGACTCCCCGGGGA